GCTAGTTATTGGTTCCTTCTCTTTTCATTATGCTATTATTGAAAACTGCTCTTGATGGAGTAGCACCGCGATCTTCTGAAGTGATGGATAGTTTAAAGATTTATATAAGTAATGAGCTAGGAGGGTGTTTGAAGAACTTTTAAAGGGTGAGACCTGTATCTTCCTGACAGTTATCACTGGGTTTTACCCTCAGTGATAGAATACTGGACAGAAACTTCCTTTAGTCTCACCTAAAATCTTTCTCACTCCCTAATTTTTAGAGACTACATGGAATGGATAATGCTGATGTTTTCATAAACTAGTGGTCATTTGGTTGACATTGTAGCATGGAGGTTGTTTAGAACACATCTTTAACAGAAATTAACTTCAAAAAATCAGTGGGCAGATGAAGAAAATTAATATGCACAGTAATTAATTTCTGAATTTATTTTTCTCTTTCAGTTACATATTTATAATAACTCAGCACCATGATCTATGCAGCTCTGTAAGAGATAAAAGATCTGCAGGCTGAGGGAAAAAAACATGCAAAAATAGATTTTTGTCTGTCTTCTTGTTGAAAAAAGGAAAGAGCTGGAAGAAAAGGTAGAAAACTCAGACTCAAACCAAAGCAGAACCAGTCACTCCAAACTGCAGACAAATTATTACAGAAAAGAGTAACATGTTTAAAAAAATTTTTTTAATTGAAATAACCTTTTGAAAAGGTTCCTATGACAATGGTGACAAGAGAATATAAAAAATACCTAAATAAAACAGTGACTAAAATGCCCCCCAAATAAAAAATAAAGTTTTATTAATATAAGTGCTTTTATTTTATTTAACTACCTACAGTTCCACATTGTGGTAAAAACTAGAAAAGACTTTTTTTTTTTAATTGATTGTAGATTGTCAGCCTGAAAATTTAAAAGGCCTATCTTCTTTGCAAAAGAACTAACTGGGTCCATATGAAGTAGACAAATTATTTGTACTGCCTGGGGCTAACAGTGATTTGTTTCAAACTCTTTGTTATTTTATTCATTAATACCTTAAGATGTATGATACATATCTTTATAGTTTAAAAAGCAGTAAAGGAGATTAATTATATATGGTCTTAGTGATGACATAATGTATTGCCTAAGAAAAAGCATGACCACCTTTTTTTACATCCCGTTAAGTATGTTTCCCCATTATACTCACCTGCACCAGTATAGACTTTATAGTAATTTAGGTAGAATCTAAACTGTAGTTTTCTTCTTTCACAACTCTTAAAGAAATAGTCCTGAAATAAGTTCGTAATAAACAAAATTGTTTGGATAAGGCAACTACCTAAGAGAATACATTGTTTTAAACCACTGATGTATATTTTAAAAGCATCCATTTATTTATCAATAATTGACACGGTAATATATCAATAGATTTTTTTATTTATTTTTTGAAGTAGGGCTTCTAAGGAGCATTTGCAGGAGAATTTGGTAGCTTATATTTTAATAAATATATTTGTTTGAAGTAAAAAAAAAATTGCATTAAAAATCATTTTAATTCATAGTTTTCACTGAAGCTGACTGTCCCCGTTCTTTACCCAATTTCTCCAAGACTGTGAGTGAGGTGATCTCATTTGGGCCAGGCCTTCTTTTATTATTTATGTTCCTTTCTAAAGATAGTCAGTTGTTTTCCAGAACACTGTATCTTATAGATGTAGGACTTCTTTAAGAGAGGGCTGTGACTCTTTTCTGATATTTTGCTCCTTGCTGCTATGCTGGGAGTGTGCATTTTATACAAGGTTCACTGATTGAGTTTTCTCTAGTTTGCTTTTTCTTGAGGAATCTTGGCTCCATCATTGCATACAGATTGGGCCGTTAGTGTCTTTATTGTTATGTGGGTTTGCTCAAGATAATAGTTTACAAAGAAGCTTTTATATTGGCCAGAGATGCTGTGTCCTCATTCTGCTTAAAAGCCTTCAGTGGTTCTCTGCTTAGGAAAAAAGCCTAAGCTTTTAAAGTGGTATGTAAAGCCGCCTTGTCTTCTGGCTCACCTTTCCTGCTTCACCTCCCACCTCCTATTTCACTGATTTCACAGACTGCTTTCCCTTTTTGGAACTCACCATTCAGTTGAATGTATCCTTGTCTTTTTTCTTTGTCCTTGCTTTTCCCTTCACCTGGAAAATTCCCATATCTTAGCTGGGAGGACTTAGACTCCAGATTTGGTTAAAGCACCTCAGTTTCCTGAGCATGTTCTCAGTATATTCACTTTATACTGAAATTTCCTCTTTAAATTTCTGCCACCTCAGACTGCAGGCCTCAAGGGGTAGCACTCTCTTATTGTTCATCTTTATTCCCTTAGAGGTTAAATGATTCTCTGGCATTTAGTGGATGCTCAATAAATATTTAATGACCTGAATTGAACTGCAGCTACATGATAGCAATGTGTTTAAATGTGGAAAGTAAAATTTTGTGGAATTTGTCTAGATTAATAACGTCAGTCACTACAAAGTCAAATTTTTGAAAAAGGCAGTTTTAAACATTAAATAAGTAGGTAGACAATGATCTTTAAAGGGAAATTTGATTTAGCCCACATAAAACCAAACAATTATGTTAACATAATACAATTTTATAGTAGTATTTTTCATCACATAAGCCAGTTAGATGCTACGGACCTGACATAATCTACTCAATTCTCTCTCAGAAATAAATTTGAAATATGTATTACCTAGGTCATCATCGCCAGCATCTTGTTTAGACTTTCTCTCCCCGCCACGTCCCTACCATTGATTTCTATTTAACTTTATTTTCCTTCTTTTGGCTACTCTTTTTAAGCAAAAGATTAGTGCCCTCTAGGGGTAAACTGCAGATACAATGCAGTACACACATTTTAAAAAGCACTGCAAAATTCTGGGAGAATTGTCTGAAATATGGAAAATGATGCTTCACCTTATTATGTAATTCACGTTATATAATTGAACTCCCCAGAGTATCTCAAAGTGCTTTTACTTTGCTCATCATTTCTTCTAGCACTATTTATTCAGACAGTTTTTGTTCCACAGGGGGAAAACACCCAAAATGAGAAGAAAGACTGTTTCATTAAAAATTGAAAATGGAAGATTACGAGTATTGGCAGTTAGAATAGTCATTTGTGAAGGAAAGTTACCAGGCCAGATGTCCATGACTCAGACTAAGGACAACATAAAAAGCTCTTCTATGTTAGCTTAACTATTTAATTCCTTCTTTTTTCTCCCCCTAAATTGATCACTTGATCAGATATTTCTCCAGAACCCTGTTTTTTTCCTCAGTTCAACCATCTTTCTCAAAAATGTTGATTTGTAATTTTTAGTTAACATTCTCTTTTATCTCATTCTTTTGTGGTGAGGAGAATGAGCCAAGATTTATAAAGCTCTTAGCACAGGATATTAACTTATAATTATTAGTTTATACTTATAAGTATTAACTTATCATGTGTGTATTTTTGTTTATGATTGTTGTTAATGGTGACATTTGTTTTTCCTAGAATGATAAAGGCGATAATATATTTAGGTGGCCTTTTCATATACAGATTTTTTGTGGACCCTGATAATAATCACTGAGAGGAAAAATAGGCAGTATTATATGACAACCAGTGCCTCAAGGTTTTTTTCTGAGCATTATAGAAGTTAAATTAGTCTATTTCTGCATTTTCTAAAGTTTTTAAGAAATTAGGCCACAAAGCTTGAGAGCAGCTTTCCACTTTACATATTTTCTTTTAAGTCGACACATTAATTTTTTAAAAGATAACTTTATTTTCAGATCATAGAATCTGTGTTCTCTAGTTTGAACAGAGGCCTTCTGTTTTCAGTTTTTTGTTTTGCAGATGAGAAAATGAGACCTAAAGAGAATAGGAAGCTGGTGCCAGTTTATGGGACCCGTGGCAGAAGCAAGACTAAAATGCAGTTCTAACTTTTTCCCTTTTAACATAACGTGTTTTCTCTTTTTCCAGGTTCACTTTGATGACATAATATTATTTTCCTTTTATAAACATGCCTAATTTAATGTTTCTTTATTGTTGCATAAACATGGAGAAAAATGGCACCTGGTTTTAGAAAGTTTCCCTGATGTAGGAGTTTTAGTTCAGTCTGGCAAAGCAAGTTGTAAAATTGCCTTCCTATGAAATAAGTGTTCAGATTCACACCCCATCTTTAACTGTCCTGGAGTGAGAAAGACATAGGAAGTGAAATAAGGAGTAAAATGTGACTCTGGCAGGAAGTGGGTGGGTGTAGTGTGGGTACAGTAGGCCAGGCATTTACAGGAGATATCCCTACTTGGCAGACTGAACAGAGGTTTTGGGAAATCTTTGGTTGTTTCGGCTCTAAAATCGCAAGCTTAAATCAGGCCCATGGAATGGAGGAAGAAGCCATGATAGGTTGTGGGTTAACTTAGTGCTAGTGATAACGTGGTTTTGAAAACCCTCCACTACAAGAAGATTTATGTTGTGCAGAGGTTTGAACAGAGAAGTATTATAACCTCATATATGTGAATTTTATTTTGAAATAATTATAGATTCACAGAGATTAAAAAAAATTTAGTATGTAGAGTCTCATGCACCCTTTACTCAGCTTACATCTGTGGATTTTTAAAGTGTGGAGTGTGTGCTTCTGGCATCCTCGATTTTGTGGCCCAGAGAGTGGGAAGACCAACTGGAGGTAAAAAAGTCACCCCTCTTGCTAAGGTGACTCTGGTTGCCGTATCAGGAATCATGAAGAAGATTAGGGCATTGCCTGTATTTTAAAAATTATAACTCCATGTAGTTGTCAGGCTTATATTTACATAGTGTGTTAAAAATGTAATAATTCTACTTTATAAGTTATTAATCTGAAATTTACATTTTTAGGGCTTTTTATATTTAAATTTAGTTTTTAAGTAGTGAGAGAATAAAGATTTTCAAAATCGCTATATGAATGAATGCTATATAAGGAATGTTTGCCCCCTTTCTTGTTTGAGTATTAAAGATAATCCCGGGTTTTAGAACCAAAAGTTAAATTGCTTTTCTCTATGCAGGTTCGAAAACATGTGAATGATCTTTATGAAGACTTACGGGATGGACACAACTTGATCTCTCTTTTAGAGGTTCTTTCAGGAGACACCTTGGTAAGTTTTAAATTTCTTAATTTATTTTGAAGAACATGTAATCCTCTCTGCTTATGACTAGTATGTTTTCAGCACAGATTGTTTAGATTTTTCAACATTCACATTTGAGCTGCACATTTTGCCTGGGGGGGAAAAAGAAGTTCTGGTTAGATTCCTGAGCATTTTCAGACTTCCAGTTATGTGAATGTGGGAGATTGAAGCATTTTGCCTACGTAATTAGTTCTATAATTAAAATACTATTTTCGTTCTTGCTTCTTTTTCACCTTTAGGTTTTTACTTTTTGTTTGTTTGTTTGTTTGTTTTTTGCTTAGCAGAAGTTGGATGCATACTGTAACCGCGTATTAAAAAACACAAATACCAAGGAAATAAACATTGCTTTCTGAAAAATGGTCTAACCCCCTCCACAGGTGTCATTTCCTTTTTTTGTGAACATTACTTCCCCTTCTTGGTTACCTGTTCCCCTCCATTATGTTCTGTTCATGCTCTTCTTTTCATTTCTGCTGTCTTGTGTCTTTGCTGTCCTATCTTCTGTCTGTTATATTCATTAGCCAAGGGAGCGAGATTTTTTGAAGACCTTACGATTGGTGAGTGCAACAGAAGCATGCGAATATGAACAGCATGAGGATGTGGAGGATGAGGATAAGGGGGTAGGTGTCGGCCCCCATAACTCAACTAACTTAGCTGTTATAGTGCAGTGAGCGCTAACATGATAGAAAAGTAACCCAAGGGTTCGGGCTCCTTTTTAGAGAACTATATAGAAAGGACCAAAACCCATAGTGAGGTGGGTGTGTGTGTACCAAGAAATTGGACAAAGGAAATATTTTCTCTTTAAATTTATTTATAGATTACTGTGCACTGCATTTGTTAATTGAACTGGTAATTGAACATAAGCACTTAATTGATAAGATGGCATTTTAGCTAAAGAATTTTATATAGTTACGGACAGCTTGACAACTAGCCTGCCAACTTTGATGCAAATTCATTCTTCTTCTGGAATTTAGATTTCAAATTTGGCAACTATTTATTGCTTTATTTGAAAGAACTATGGAAATTTATTTAATATTTAAGTTTATGCCTATTGGCAATAGATATTTGGTGGACATTTTTTACCCCTCTTCTGTGTCTCTATTTTATTTACAAAGGGGGAAGGTTTTAAAGTCTAGAGTCCTGGCAGAACTCACAGGAACTGTTTTATCTCCGTGACTCTTAGTTGACTTCAGCCCACTTTTGCAAAGCAGATTGCTTCTTTTGTCATCTACATCCCTAGTGCCCCCTGTTTCATTGGAAATGGTGCTTTTTTTGGATTTAGGGGTGAATTCATCAACTTCATTTCTACCTGTTGTATAGAACCTATTTTTTCCATTCTGTAGTCTGCTGTCTATTTTATTATGGTGCCTTTGGCTTCAGCAATATATTCATATTGAGAAGCTAAGCTGTCACATATTCTCTCCCCCCTACTTTTGGAAAGATTTTATATGGGAAATTTCAGCTCCATTCTTTGTATTTTAGTTAAGCATTTTCTCAGCTCTGTTTCCTTGTGCTAACTTATAACTTTTCTAAAAGGAAACAGTATCAAGGAAAGTAATTATGATTTGTCAGTTTTCTTGAGATGGTAAATAATCATGTCCATCCCCAAGCAGTGTAAAACTATTATAGATCCTACTGATTTTGTGAAAAAAGCTAAAATAAAATAAAGAGGAAATATATGGCTCTAATTGCTTTCTCTCTTCCTCTATCATGGCTAAGTAAAACTCCACTGTCTTTCTCCTTCTTGGTGATTTTTATACTAACTGCATGATACTTTACCTCATTTTTATTTACATTCCATACATATATAATTATAAAACCCTCTCGATAGTAGAGTTTATTAAGAAGGAAAAGGGAAAACGTTATTTAATTCTTTTTGTGCTTCTATAGCTTAATAACTGTAGGCTAGAATTGTTGTAGTATAGTGAATATAAAAAGTCTATATGTTCTATGGTTATTTTCTCTTTTTCTTTGTATAAATAAAACTTTTGGAATAAATCATCTGTTTAAATAAAACATATTGAGAAAAATCCCTAGTAGTTTAAATTCGATCCCAGATAATAAAAAAATTATAACTACCTTTAAAAAATTTATTGAATTTACCCAAACAGTAAATACCATTTTGACATATTAAGATGAGCATAAAGTATATTTATATAGCATACTTAGCATGGTATCAGAAACTATAGTGTTTTTTATACCGTGCATTTTTCTATTCTTAGCCCAGAGAGAAAGGTCGGATGCGTTTTCACAGACTACAGAATGTACAAATTGCACTTGACTATTTGAAAAGACGCCAGGTATGATGTTTTTCAAAGACTATAATTCTATAAACATATGTGACTGAGTAAATCTACACAGAAACATGTCAGGGAATGAAAAGGTTAAATTCAACTGTGAATTATAATCATTATACTTGCGCTTTTGTGAGACAAATATTTTAAAATGTTTTTAAACATTTGCTCCAAAGAAAAGAAAGTTAATAGTAGGTAGGTGTAAGCTTAGAGGAATTACAAGTAGCTACATTTCCATCAGAATAAGAGCTACTGGTTTTCCTTCCCTCAGCAATGGAATGCTTTTGCCTAGGAAGTTAATGACAGAATGTTAAGAATATCTATGAACAGTTCTTAGTAGTAGGGAGGTAATACTTTATTTTTTGTGCTTAGTTTATAAAATTATTTTATAAAAAATAGTTTATATAATACCTTAAAAAACAGTATAGGTATAAACTTAGTATAAGTATTTTTGGTACTTAGTAGTTGGTAATTTATAAGTGGTTAAAAATAAAACATTTCTGACTATAGTCTTCAACTTGCTTGAGGTTTTAGAAAAAATCATGGAAGTGAATGCATGCCATATTGGATATGATCTTGATTTTGGTAGCATCGTGTTATTACAGTGGTATAAACCAAATAATAAATTTTCAATTGGTGAAAGAAAGGAGAAAAAGAAATTCAAGAGAATTTAAAGTTACTGAAAACAATGGGAAATCAGATGGCAACAATTTTGCTTTTTAATGGAGTTGGAAAAAGGGAAAGGAATGAAGAGGGAGAGGGAAATACTTTTTTATTAGTCCTTCATTTAGTTTATTATGAATATTAAAATGCTTTTAGTTATTAAATTCTGATAAATACTCTGCTAAATTTTTTAAATGTTATTGGTATTTGTCATTATTTTTAATTATAGTGAAAGTTTCCAGAAGGATTAATGATTAGTTATATCTCTTGTTTGCAATGTTTTCGACAGTGTTTTGTCCAGGAAATAAAATGCTAGATGTTATTGTATTTAATTTTCGATATTTAATGTGTAATATTTAATTCTTTTGTCCATCCAAGAAGTAAACGTTACATTTATTTACCTGAATGCATAATATGACAGGTGATAAGCTTTAAGTCTGATTATTATATATATATATTTTTATATTTGGACAGTCTTGGAAATGTCCAGTGACTCATGTATTTACTTATCTTGGTAATAGTTTATGATAAACAAATAGGAAAATAATGCTAGGTTTTTTTGTTTTTTTTTTTAATCGTTTGTGAAGGAAGCGTGAGAAAGTTGTTAAAATTATTTTGTGGTTCTGAACAGTTTTCTGCTTACTTGTAAAATAAAGCTTATTTTCAAAAGACAAAATTCAATGTTAAAATCTCAAGTATCTAGGACTTTCTTCTTGAGTTGTATTTTTGTTTTGACAGATGAGTTTTTTTATTACTTGATCTGGAATGCATACCAAAATAATACCAGTTTTTCCTTTGTGGTTACTTTTTAATTTGCAATCTAAAAGGATTGAAGATAGGAGGTAAAACAGTGTGTTAAAGATTACTGGTGTTTAAATCATTCAGTTTTTTTCTTTGTATAACATAGAATCGCTTTTATGTAGGTAAAGATAACTCATGTGATGGTTTGAAAAATAGTGTTTTATCTCTTTTTCATGTATGAAACAGGTGAAATTAGTGAATATTAGAAATGATGACATAACAGATGGAAATCCCAAATTGACTTTGGGATTAATATGGACAATAATTTTGCACTTTCAGGTAAGCCCAATTTTTCTTAATGGTCATTTCTTTTATCCTCTCATTGCTAGTTTTCAAGGGGTTCATATGAAGCGTGTGGAAGAAAATAAATTTTAGGCATCTCAAACAATATATTCGTATTATTCCTTTTAAGTAACATGCAGCTTGTGAACCTGGTACCCCATTTCCTGTTGATTTTAGGACAAAGCTTGTAATCTCAGAGTTGGAAGATAAAGATATTTTTAAATTGAATGTAGAAACATTTTTTTTGTTGTTTATTGGACACTGTTACCTGATTTAGATACATGAAAATTTTATTACTCAATTTAGAATGGTTCTTATTGATTATTATATTCTCAATTATGCAAACTATTTTCTCCCATCGATAGACACTAGATGGCAGTATAAGTCTCATAAAGACATTTGAGTCAGTATTATGTTTTAAGTAGAGCTGTGCTTTTTCAAACTAGTTTTGAGGAGAGTAAATGCAAATTTATTAACTATGAATTATTATTTAATAAACCTGAGCTAATTGAGAGTTGATTTTGGTTTCAATTTTATAAAATGATGCATTTTGAAAATTATCTTCATTTGATTAAAGGTGAGTTCTAATTTTGGAATTTGCTTTAGTTTATTAATCAGTTGCCTACCCACGCAGTGTTCTGTGTGTGGCACAGAGCCTGACCCATAGGAAGCACACAGCAAATCTTACTGATTGACTACCGTGCAGTTGGACCTTGAAGGAGGAAGAGATAACTTGCCAGCTTCAGAAAGGAGCTGGGAGTTTGAATCAGCTTTAGAGAGGAGCAATATTTATTTTTTAAATATTTGGGTTTGTTGGGGAATGGTATAAAATATTGTACTTGGGGCTCATTAAGGAACAGGATAAATCTGACAGGTTTGGAGAGCTGTAGGAACTGGGGTCAAGGAGGGTTCCAGGACCTGAACAGGCAGGTGAGCCAAGTTCCAGCAGCCAGAAATCAGAGGAGCAGGCACAGGCACCAGGAGACCCAGGCACCGGGTGTCAGCCAGCCAGATTGCAGATCAGCTAATATAGTTGAATGTCTACTCAGCTGGGCATTGGTGTCAAGGAGATCTAGTAACAGAAAATGGAGGCAAGACCCTGAAGGCTTGTGGGTTTCTATTTCTAGAAGACCCCATCCTCAGGGGACCCAGAGCACTGACACTAAACCAAGACTGGGATTTGGACACAGAGCCAGACCTTGGTACTGGAACTGGGTAAAGACTAAGTAGAACTGGCCAGACACTGGTTTCACGTGGAGTTCCTCAGCAGCTTTCTCAGGGATCCTTTCATTAGCCCTAAGTGGATCAAGTACCAGAACTTTTAGTAGGGTTGAAACTGCAAGAACCCCACAGTGGAAGGGTCAGAGGCCTATTGGGATGAGATGTCAATTACATTATTACCAACAGAGCTGGGGAGACAGGCCATTTCTGGGTTTTGAATGTCGGAGTAAGATTCACTGTGGGGAAGTGGAAAAATATTCTTTTTGGGAGGGAGGCAGAGCTAAGTTTCATTGCTGGCTCTTTTATTTATGGCTGTGATGGCACTGCATATATCACTCAACCACTCTGAACCTGAAAAATAATGTTTTAGGAAACTTAACCTATTGAGTCTATGTACAATAAATTGAAACGAACAGAGTGCATAGACAGGGAAGTAAGCTAAGAAGCTGAGGTGGTAACCTCTGAGAGGAATGATAAAGGCCAGGACTCAGATGGGGATAAAAAATTGAATCCAAGAGATGACATTTTGAAGAAGAAAGAAAGGGACTTGGTGATAGCAAATAGAGAATGAAGAGGAGGGAATAAAGATGACTGTAAACTTTTAGCCTGGGAGATAAAAACCAACCAACCAACCAACTCACAAACAAAACAGACTACTGAGAGAAATGGGGATGATGGTAAGGGGAAAACTAAAGACCTTTAGGGCGGGTTCAGTGGCGTGTGGGATATCCTATGCATCTGTCTGCTGAGCAATTGGAGATATGTGAGCAGAGCAGAGCTGAGAAGTCAAAGGTACAGGTAATAAACTTGAGAGTTACCGGTATACATCTTGAATCTATCAGAAAGCAGGGATCTTCAGAAAATCCAAGAGGAGCATATGTGGAGAAGAGCCGAGAGCAAAGGACAGAAATTTAGGGAAGGCCCGTGAGTAGGAGTACAGAAGGACAAAGATCCATCTGGGGAAATAGAAAGGGAGCATTTGATAAGATGGTTGAAGCCACAAGAAAATATAGTATTGTTGAAATCATGGAAAGAGGATTTCAAGTGAAAAGGAATAGTGAGCAGTATGAAATGTCACTAGAGAGCATGAGAAAATTAAAACTGTGTATAGGTTAATAGTTTTGTGTAGAGGGAAGACATTGGAGATCTTGGAAAAAATACTCCCAAGCTATGGGAGCAGAAACCAGAAAATAACCAAAATGTGAGTAAATGGTTGTGAATTAGAATCAATATATTTAGACCCTAAATTTGAGGAAATTTAAGTGAAAGTTCATTCAAAAAAGAATTATATATTAAGAAAGCTCTTTGGGGTTCAGGTGTCTCTGGAGGAGAGAAGAGGACCAGCCATGGAAGTACCAAAACTGATTTTGCTTCTAATATGTTCCTGTGGCCTATATAATGGAATCTAGTATATTTTAGGACCTGAATTACAAGATAATGACTGTTAAAATATCATCAATATTTAAAAATTAGACCAAGATCTATTTAAAATGAAACACGTGAATATTTTGGTAAAACAAATGTTTTTTTTAGATGAAATGACTCTTTTTAGTACTATGATAATTTAAGATTAGAATGATTTTACTGGTTATGCCAAGATATAAGGTTATTTATAGCAGTGGTAATCATCCTCACATTAAGTGACTGGGCTTTTTTTTGGTTTTCTCTCTATACCTTACATAAATAAGGGAAGTAATTTCAGAAGACCAATTTATTTATTTTTTAAACTATTTGTTATGAGCATCACAAAGTGAATCTTTTCTAATCAGGCTGTTCTAAAGTAAGCATTATTAGCACAGTAATCCTATATCATTAGTTACTATATGCTGGATCCAGAGATACTAAGGTAATGAAGTAGGTTGTTCTGCCTATTGGGAGAATGCTCATAAAACTGACTATAATCGAGGGTGATGAACCTCTTACAATATAAACAATAATAGGAATATAGGATCAGAAAGGTGTTAGAGAATAAGGGAAATTTTCACTGATATTAGATATAGACTTCGCAAGATGGTTGGTTGCCAGCTCCCAGGGAGAGACTAGAGTCGGGTCATTTCTGGGAAAGGGAATACTGTGCAATGGCCTGAAAATGGACAGTTGCTCAGTTTGGCAGGGTTAGAAGACAGGCAGGTGGTGTACAAACCACTGTTGCGCCTCTATTGTGTCAGTACGGATACCAGCCATTATACTTTAAAATTCTCATAAGTAATGTTTTATTGCCATTGAAGACATTGAAAATCAAATTAACAAACAAACCTGAGGCTTTCTTTTTGCCAGCTTGTGCTCTAAGATATTCAGTTTTTGCTACTAGAGATCGTTTAATTTTTTCTTTAAATGATTAAGGAATATCTCACCATGTAGGCCTATTATTGACAAATATCAGCAACATTGCTAACTTGACTATTTAATTGAATATTCTTATTTAGAAAAATATAATGAGTTCCAGCTTTGGATCAGTCTAAAGGCTACCTGGAAAAAGGCTATTATAAATTTATTTTTATTGGTCAGATGATTTCTGCTTACGTATAAGTCTAGTCATGCCATACTAATTTCCTTTTTACCATATCTGTGACTCAGTGTTAGAAATATGCATACCTTAGATAATCAGGTGCATACTGATTTATTGTTTTTACAGCAAGGTCCTAGTAACTGTTTAATATTTAACTAGGGTACAATTATAAAAGTTACATATAAAGTTTAACCACCCTAATTCATGTAAAAGACATGCAGGTGGTTCTTTTGGCTAAACATTTCACTCTTTAAATCACAGAATTTATCAGTTTTTATATGAAAATTCTAATGAGCATATAAAGGAAAAGGCTTGAAAATTTACGTCATAGGAAAAATATTTAAACAATTTTAAAAGATTGATTTTAGAAACAATTTTAATAGAATATTTTAGGCATAGCATTTATTGTCTCTCTTTCAGCTACTGAGTCATCCTTTTTTTTTTTTTTTTTTAAATAAGCCTTAATGTAGTTTACAGAGAGTTTAGAGCCTTTTTTTTCAAGTACCAAAATTAGTTGGTGTTTCTTAAGAAAAATAATTATATGGTAGAGACTCTCTGAAACTAAATTTGAAAGGCACTTTGAAACTAAGTTTGAAAGGCACTTTGCTAAATGTCTTCTGGCTGGTATTTGCTTTCTCTTTGCTCTCAGATTTATTGAACCACCAATAGTTTCAAAGGTTAACACGAACTTTGGTAGTATAACATCATTTCAGAAAACTGAAAGTTAAAGTGAAGGTCAGAATTTTCTCGTATAATAAAGTTAAGGGTTTGCTTTGAATGCTCATCAGCATTGTAATTTGACAGTGAGCAGTAATGTTTGTCTAAGAGGATTGGTGTCCAGAAATAAGCCACACTGTCTAATGAGACACAGGGACCCAGCTGGGCAAGATGCCATGGCATTTCTTGCGTGTGCCTTTCTCATAAGCAAAATGGCCTCATGCTGAAGAGGATGGTCACAAAGTCTGAGGAATTTGAGGTCGGAGTGGGATTTTTGGACTTAATGGGCAAGATCTAAGGAAGCCCTGGATTTTGAAATGAGTGAATCTGTGGAACTGTGATTTCCTGCAAATCAAATGGGGAATGTCTGTGGATGTGTAAGAGCTGAGAAAGAAGAACAATATTTAGATCCTGCCAAAACTCCTTTGAGCCCTGAAAAATATTCTCCTAGAAGGAAATATTTCAGAAGAAAACCGATCAAGAAAATTATAGGTGATACAGAGTCAGTGGAGCCGAACAATGAAAACGAAGGACGGAAGAGGAGCAGCAT